GTGCTGGACACAATGGATGGATGGATGGATGGATGGATGGATGGATGGATGGATGGATGGTGATGAGAGCTATAAGAGCCCCCAATAAAATGATTTTTAAAATAAATAAAAATAACACCCCACCCACCCCCACCCCGAAAGATAGTGTTAGTGAGATACTAACTAACTCAGTCCTTTCCAGTGCTTCTAAAACCCAACCATACTGAAAATCCTCAGAGGAACCACGCTACACCGGCCCATCATCATACACCCAAATCACTGAGACAGCCTTATTCTTTCTCTGCCTGCAGGTTCTTCCTCTCCAGAAACATCCTGCTTATCCGTTAGATCAGCCTTCTAAAATGTCCCAAGCCCAAATGGCATTGCCTTGATTCTGACTCATAGCAACACGGGTTCCAGAACTGTCAACACTTTATGTGAGCAGACAGCCTCACCTTTCTCTTGCAGAATGGCCAATACCTCCCCCACCGCACCTTCCTGGCAGTACCCCCAGCATTGCCCTATGAAGAGCTCGTGCTAGTCAAGATCTGCTGAGCAAGCTGAAAAGATACAGGCAACCTTAGGAATCCATAAAAGTGGTTAGTGATAAAAATCGTGTAAACTGTTACCTTGCGTGCCAAATCACTGTCTTTCTTTGCTGACGCAGCGATCTGAAAAGGAGTGTGGCTTTTATGTGCCCTTCTATTACACCTGCTAAAGAGTGCAGAATTCTTTGAAACACCTTATCTGAGTCCTTCCACTAAGTCGCAAATAAATTTATCCATAAAAGCACCGTAGCCTATCCCAAAAGAGTTAACTCTCAAGCCCAAAGGGTTCAATCTGGGCTTAGCCATTGAGCAGAAATAGTTCCCAATCCAGGGTGCTCATTCTGTTCTTTTTATCAACTTGGTAGGTAAGGATATGATGGAATTGTATGAAAGGTGGGCTATGTCCCAGTAAGACTGTTAAAACAAAAAATTGGTAGGTAATGAATACTTACAATTTGCCAAACACTTCATAGCTGACAGTACCCAGTGCGGGAGTTCTTCTGTCGGAAAAAGAGAGTGAAAACAGTGTTTTGTGCAGTTGCATATAACTCAAGGAATTCTGTGCACTCTTGGTGCAATAAGGAGGTATTGCTTGTCTGATATGTACGCAAATCATAAATATACCTCTTGTAATTTTCTTAGTAGCAGAGTTACAACATAGGTTTGTACAGGTCATGCCTACAAATGCCTTACATTAGAAGAGATGCCTTTGTAAGGCTTTTGTATAAAGACATCTGATGGTTTATTGCAGACAAACAAACTAACAGACAAAGCAACTATGCCAAGAATTATACAAGGGGGGAGAAAAGAAATCAAACACTCCTTTAAAAAAGCAAATTTTCTATGTCCAATATGAGTATCTTTTTCCATGCTTTTATTTATTTATTTATTTATTTATTTATTTATTTATTTATTTATTTATTTATTTATTTATGGTGTTTGGGGCTGAGGAAGCTTCAAGGGCATGTAGAATTGCGCCATGACATTCACAGAGCTGTAAAATAGTGACTGTGGCCCTGCTACAGTAATAACTCCCAGGGAACCATTTGGTGCAGGGCCTTTTCCCTCCTGGCCCGGCACAGCCACTCGTGAACTGGGCATCCACTCTGCATCCTCTCCACGTTCTGCACAATTAGGAGGATGCTTGTTGAACTGCGTTAGGTCTAATGAGTTTGAGGCTGGTGAAGTGCTCTCTTCCTTTCTGAAGAACTTACGTAACAAATTGAATGACACCTGGTTATCTAACTGGCAGCTGAAAGTATTAATGTTTGCTACACTCAAAGAATGACAAAGGATTGTAGATGTACTTCAAAGGCCACACACACACACACACACCCCTCACTCTATGTAACTTAATTGTACAGGTTGACATTTACCTGACAGCTCATTAACCTGAATTCACAGCTCTATTCATTTCTGTCCCCCAGTGTCCTTCTTCCCTGATGTAGAAACAGTGCTTCAGGGAGCCAGAGCTACAAAGACCCCCGTGACTTCTCATAATTGTTCAGGCTCCTTCTGGGTTACTCTGCTGCCTAGGAGCTTCCAGCCCTAAATTTAATAATATTCGCAAAAACCCAAAAAGCATAAGATCATCTTCTTTACATCAAAAGCTCATTCTGGTTCCGCCCAATCTCAGCATCAAAGGTTGCACTACAGGAAGAACTGATCAAAGAGGCCATCAAATTCTGGTTCACCCCTCTTCCATAGGAAGCAAGCTGGAAGCTTCAGAGCCAGCCTGGAGCCCCAGCCCACCACAGGATCCAGCACCGGGCTGCTAAGCGAAAGGCCAGCCACTCAATACCCCCATGGCTCTCTGGGAGAAAAGTTCTGCAAGCAGCTCCCACAGAGGGGACAGTCCAGGAAACTCGGGGCAGTTCACTCTGTCATACATGGTAGCTCTGGGTCAGTGTTGACTTGGCAGCACACAGCAACAACATACAAGGGGCCGTCGAAAAGCTCATGGAAAATACCATTATCTTTGAATCCCATTTTTCTAGGAACTTTTTGAAGCCCCCTCTAGGTCCCACAACCATATTTTTTCCAAATCAAAAACCAGGCTGGGTGACTGCCAAAATGCCTCCTTTTTCCTGTTTAGTAAATAAGTTCGGATGAAAAGGCACAAAGCATTTTTGGCATTTAGAGCACCATATTTATTTTTTAAAAACAAAACCACAATTTAAAAGAATTTAAGATGGAGGTTAAAATAAATTACCTAATCAAGACAACCTCAGAAAACTGGATACAGGGACGCCTTAATGAGCAAGGTGAAGGAGAACTAAATCCAGTCAGGCCAGCACCCATCTGGAAACGAATCACACTCCAGTGAGGTCCCACGCTTACTCATTACTCAGGGGGGGGTCTTCCTGGGGGTGAAAAGGAGCAACCGAATGCCCAGTGAGGAGCCCATGTGTGGCACAAATGGTTAGGTGCTCGGCTACCAATGAAAGGTTGGTGGCTCAAATCTACCCAGGGGTGCCTCAGAACAAAGGCCTGGCGATCTCCTTCCCAGAAATCACAGCCACGGAAAAGCCCTCGGGAGCACAGCTCAACTCCGACACACGAGGGGCCACCACGGGACAGCATCGACTCAAGAGCATGCGGTTAGGTCTCTGGGTTGAAGCCCAGCCTGACTAACAAGGACCTAGCCTCTGGACGAATCTTTCTGTGATGTTTCCTTAACACAAACAATTCATAGATAAACAGCATTAGGGACTCATCTTTATTCTAAGAAAATAAAAACCAAGGTTTAGAAACCGGGGGGTGGGGGCGTGCGGATTCAGAGCTGTTGGATCCACAAAGCTGACATACTAGGTTCGCCGAGAACAGTGGTTCCGGGCACTTACTGGACTTGTCGTCGAGGATCACCACGCCCTGCTTGCTAACACCGTACACATTATGGATGATGAACTTGGAGTGGATGCGCTGGCTGTCTAGCACGTCTTCTAAGGACTGCAGCCCGAGCATTTTCTGTAAGCTACAGAAATAAATGACAAGTAAACTAGTTACTTTTCCTTTTTTAACCATTATTTAGCAAACTACCTCGTACTGCAATAGCTCAATCTTGAGGATGCATATTTTCTGGGATCGCCCAATTATCTCTACAGAGCAGAAAGGTTAAAAATGGAGTACAACAAAAACAAATATAAAAGATGACCTTCACCATTAACATACTGCTTCACTGATTTTAATAACAGAACACTTGGCATGTCAGGGAGACCGTTTCTTATGTAAACTATAAATAACAAAACCTGGCTTGTCCAATGATGAAAAACTGCTCCGAGTATATTTCTTAAGGAGAAGACAAAAAAGCAGTTGGTGTGACACTGGGCCGAGAGTACACAGGTTCCCAGACTGACTTGACCTGCCATCCTCTTTTCAAAAGAGAAAAAACCCCTCAGTGGCCCCCTGGCGATTGAAAGCCTTTGGCCTTGGAAGCCCATGATCCAGATGAAGTGTCAGGATTGCTTCTGGTCCCGACCATCTCCGCCGGGTGCTTGGGAAACACTGATACGGTAAGTCAAGTCGATAGACCAGATCCCCCCCAGAAGTTTCATCTAGTTTGAGATTCTTAAAAACCTTCAAATTCCTTTTCTTAACTGTAATATAAATGACAATGGACAATGAATGCCCATAATTCAGTTAAATTGGTTTTGCTAAGCAGCACAGCTGCAAATAATACAATAGAAAGTCGAGGTTTTTATATATAATTTCAGAAAATTATACAGAGGCAAGAGAGAGGAAACAATTTCACTGAAAGTGCTCATCGATGTACATACTACGACAAAGTCAAAGACTTCCACATCTCTTCCACGTTGGCCTCCGTCAGCTGCCTGCGGCGGATAAGGCGGCAAGTTGGCACTTCTCCGATAGCAATGCTGTGACGCTTGCACCACATCTCCGAATTCTAATGGAGAGAGAGGCAGCGCGATCAAAAACACTTCAATATCTAATACTGGCGCTTCATTAGACATTCCTTTCATAGGGCTGTTTCTCATCTGGTTTAAAAGACAGCTAGGAATATTGATTTGGCATGGATGTCGAGGGGCTGTTGTTTCGGGAGCCCTAGGGGCCTGGAGGCCACCAGAACTGCCCTGCTGACCACAAGGCGAGCAATTAGACAGCCGCTCCAAGGGAGCGCTGTCAACTCCATAAAGATTTACAGCCTCGAAAAACCCCAGCAAGCAGTTCTACTCTGTTCTGTAGGGTCATTATGGATCAGAACTGACTCAATGGCAGCGGGTTTTTTGAGTTGACAGCTGCTGTGGTGTGAGCTCACGGCAGCCCATGCCCAAGAAAACAAAACCCTGGCCAGCCCTGTGCCACTCCTTAACTGCTTGCAGATCAGATCACTGTGATCCATAAGGTTTGGACTGACTGGTATTTTGGAAGTAAGGTGCCTAGCTAGGAAGTACACACTTTCTTCCTAGTTCATCTTTGTCTGGAAGCTCCACTGAAGCCTGCTGGTGTTATCTGTAATCCATAATCCAAGATCGAGTGTAGGAGTCTGCTGTTGCAGCCCCCAGGATCATTGTCCTCAAGGCTTCCCTGACTGGTGGGTGGTAGCGGTGGATGAGGTGCATCTCAGAAGTCAAGGCCTGTCTCCCACCTTGAAGGCATGGACTCTTCCACTGCACCATCACTGTCCCCCTCAACGGAGTAAAGATGCGGTTATAGGCCCTTCCAGAAGGGCCATCGGGGAGGAAAGATATATCCAGGGTACAGTACAGCACTGAGGAAACACATGACTATCCTCTAGTTCTTTAATATTTCCTCCACTTATGATTTTGGTCTCAGTTTTACCTCATTAAGTTTTTACACCCGTGAGTGTTCATTTGTATAATGAAGATCATTCCAGGCATGAAGTCCGAGCTAGATAAACTTGTCATAAATAGTAATGGGAGCAATGACTCCCCAGGGGACAGGGAGAGAGTGAGGAGGGGGGAAGGGGGGCCAATAGCAAAGATGACTGCATAACCCCCTGGAGGGGAACAGATACAGTGGATAGTATAAGATATGACCAAAATATAAAAAATAATAACTTTTTATAATAATTAGGAAGTAGGTGGGGCAGAGTGGGGATAAAGGTGAACTGATATCAATGAGTTCAAGAAGAAATAAAATGTTTTTAAAATGATAGTACAATTATTCTTGACCTAACTGAACTATGGATTGCTATAATATCTAGAAGAGCTCCCAATAAAATTATTTTTTAAAGATGCGATCATATTGTACGTGAGTAGTCATCAATTACTGAAGAGACTTATGAGTGACATTCACTAGCTATTTTTTTCCTGCAGGGGTAGAACTAATCAATGAAGTACCAGTGAAATAAAATGCTATTAATTCAAAATTAAGTGGATGAGCTACCAAAGGCATCGTCCAGACTGAGTGACATTTAAAATACAATTACAATGAATTTTTACAAATTAAAATTATCTTACTCTCAAGAGGCTCTGGTTTTTAACAAGCACAGATAAAACCTATGCAATCTTGGATATCGGCCCCCTGAGCTCTGGTGTCTGCAAAGAGAAGAGCCAAGTGTTCCATCGGGCAGCCCAGAGAAGGCAACGAGAAGGGAGGAAGGAATAAACTCTCAGGCAGTTGGTGCCACTAACCCCTTTCTACGGAGAGAAAAGGCAAAACTTCACGAGGGCAAAGATTTTCCCCAAAGGCCCACCGTTGTCACCACCTTGTGGCTCACAGTCAGGCAGCTCCCCATGGTTCCTGACGCTTCCCTTTGCTCACCTCAGGGATGAATATTGAACTCCTAAACACAAACATGGCAAAAATCACTTGCAAAGCGTTTCTAGAATAGTTTGGGATTCGTTTGTTTGTTTGGGGTGGTTCGCGTAGTGGTCACCCCTTGGGTCAGCAGCGTGCCACCCTGCTGAATATAAAATGAGCCCTCTGAGAAGCAAGAGAGGGGATCTTATTACCAGCAAGAGCCAGGAGTGGATCTGGACCCTAAGACCCTTGCCCAGGGAACTCCTGGAGGCAGACACAGCTGTGACATCAGAGGAGCAGCAGCAGGAGACCAAGAGCAAGCCAATCTGAGTGTTTGGGGCCACACGGCTGACTTGTAGAGTGGGGTGCCTCTGAGCACTTCACTGGGGGAGCTGGCCTGGCTGAACCACACAGCTTGAGCTGAATGCCTTTGGGTTGAGGCTTGCTCTCTGGGCATTTATTAGCAGTCTTGAAAGCACTTTGCAGCATGTCCTGACTGAATGGATGTATCCTAGGCATTTCTCACCTGCAATATAAGCTGTTTAACTTCAAAAACAAACCCTGTAATTGTGAGCCTTGCCAGTGAGTTCTGTGTGGCCATTGCAATGAATCATGGACTCGGAATGAAAATGTAGAAAGTAGCAGTCCAGACAACAAAGTCACTATGAGTCAGAACTGACTCGATGGCAGTGAGAAATTTAGTCCCGATTTTATTTTTTAAAGTAATGTCTAAGTCATTGCATTTCCCTACAAATCCCACGTCTCAAGCTTACCTGAGAGCTATGCTTATAGATATAATCAAATATTAATCTGTGAAAATGTCACTCCCAATCACAATAAGGATCGCTGACCATCACCAGGAGCGGTGAGGGATTCTCACCCGACTGTGAGGGAATATGGTTCTGTTGTCTCAGCACCTCGCATGTGGTCGTTTTTAATAGCAGCACTCTAATAGCAGCAAAGGAACCAGAGAGGGAAAACTGGGCCAAGGCTGGGGGTTCACAGACTATTTCTGCCATCTGGCAAAGTTAAGCAGGGCACTTACCATCACAATGGGCCGTACTGGGATGTTCTCTTGGGAAGTGCCTGGTGGGGGATCATTCCATTCTGGAAATTTAATGGCATCCTTTTGGTAGGTGGGCTTCTTTGGATATGGTTTTAAAGGTGAGGAAGGAGGAAATCTAAAATCAATAAAAAAATGTCTATTATTACAGTCAGTAGGAGACACAGTCCAGCTCCGTGAGTCCTTGAGAACGTAACAATTCCAAACCAACTCCTACTTAACAAAAATTATGACACGTGACTAGTCATTCCCAACAGTAACATGTACCATTTTTTTAAATGTTCATTCCAGGAGTCAAACATGTGACACATTTTGAAAATAAATAAAACGTGTTTCTTATCCTTTCACCTCCAGGAGTAAAGATGTTCTTAAAGGAATGCTCGTGTAGACCACGTCTTTAACCCAGCTCAGTCTTCAGTGCCTCGCAACACCATCCCAGTTAGAGATGGTGATTGGCTATCCCTGGAGAAGGCATCATGCTTGGTAAAGCAGAGGAGCAGCGAAGGAGAGGATACCTGTGTCTCTAGCAACACTCTTACAACCACCACCACCCTCACAGGCCTGGAGGCAGTCACAGGTCACAGCGAGCCTATAGGACAGGGTAGAACCTGCACCTCTGGCGTTCCAAGACTACATCTTTGTAGGAGTAACCGGCCTCATCTTGTGGCTGGTGAGTTTGAACTGCCAACCTTGGTCAGAGTGGCTGGTGAGTTTGAACTGCCAACCTTGTAGTTAGCAGTCCAACACTAGTTAGCAGTCCAGCCCTCTCGAGGGCTCCTTGAACAAATGGGCAGTACCAAAACCACACTCACTGCCATCAAGTCCATGCTGACTGAGGGCCACCCTATAGGACGGAGTAGCACTGCCCCTGTGGGTTTCCAAGACTGTAATTCTCTACAGGCGTAGAAAGCCTCCTCTTTCTCACACAGAGTGGCTGGAGGTTTTGAACTACCGACCTTCCGGTTAGTAGCCCATGATGCCACTTGGGCTCTTAATGAATAGCAGTACATCAATTATAAAACGGAACTCACTGATAATCAAGATGATGCTGACTCACAGAGACCCCACAGGACAGAACAGAACTGGTCCTGTGAGTTCTGAGGCTGTAACTCATCGCGGGAGTGAAAAGCCTCCTCTTAGTCCTGAGAAGCACCTAGTGGTCCCTAACTGCCAACCTCATGGTTAGCAACCCAACACGTAGTCCATTGCATCACCATGGTTCTCTTTAAATTGGCCTAGATGTTGCACAGGGTGCGCACGTGCTGCAGCCTCCAGCGAATCCCCTCTGACCACAGACCAAGAACGGGCATAGCCTGGCTCTCACGCAGAATGCAGTGTTTTGGCTTGTTCCCCCCTTGTTTTAGTTTCTATGTTTTCTGTAGATGTAATGCAGGATGAGTAGAGCTATAGCGACAATGGTTTCTTGTGGGGTGTGACGGCGAAGGTTGCAAGGACGTGGGGTGTTGGTGACGATGGGTGCGGAGGGATGTAAATGTTCTGGAGGTGATGTGGAGATTATTGTAAAGCTCTCTTATTAGTATGACTGAACTACTAAATTGTATGATATGGGAAACGTGTGCCAATAAAACTGCTTAAAATAAAAGACAATAGAAAGGCAATTAATTTTTTTTCCCTACAGACTCTTTTTCAACTACCTTATTAGGAAAGAAAAAATTCAGAGTTTATAAAACATGCAAGAACTCTAGATTGTGATGCTGACCCATGAGTCCACCATAGGTTATTTTTTTTTAATTTGGTTTTTTTTTAAGTCATATTAAAAACTGAAATGTGCAGAGAACACCAGAAATTAGTGTAACAATACAGTTAATATACAATTAAAATTAAGCAGCATTAAACCAAAGGTATTGGGAAGGTACTCTGAAGAGTGAAAATAAGTTATGCAGGGAGATATAAAAAAGTATTCCTACTAAAGTGTGGTGAAGAAAGCTGATGATGCCCTGCTATCTATATGTTGCATGTGGCTCTTAAAGGCTTGTATTCAAACAAGCAGCCCTCTAAGTTAGGTGTCAAATAAGTCCACATGGAAGAACCGTGCCTGTGTGAACCAAAGATGATGGAAAGAATCAGAGCTCAAATTGTGAACACTCGGTTGTAAAGGCTGTGGAGGACAGTGGGAGCCCAACATCCATCTGTAGAGCACCTACTGGCGGATCCCGACCACAGTTGGGGGATGTAAATAGCCCTACTAACAAGCAGAGATTATTGTAAACTTGATTATGGTGGATGGAACTACAGTAAAAGAGGGTGCCTGGTCAGTTGATCTCCCTCTTGATCCATTCTGGATTTGTTCTAGGTTTAAATATTCCTCATTTGTTTCTCAACAAAGAGGTTTTCTCTCTGGCTTATTTGAATATTGCCAGCAGTCTTTTCTTTTTGTCTCTGGTATGGTTGCCAATATATAAAGCACGGAACGGGCGGGTGTGCAGAGACAACAGTGGATGTAATGGCTTGTCAGGGATAGGAGCGTGGAGAGGAATTTGGGGAGCACATGGTGACTACTGCAGGAGGGAAGATGCACTGGAACTGACTGTGGTTATGGAGATACAACTCCTTCTGAATTCTACTGAATTTTATCACAATAGAACTACTCCGGGAAATGAAAAAATGAATGAAGTATTGCTTCTAGAAAAAGCAATAATGAGGTACCACCTTACAAAGACAATGACAGCCAAGTTAAATACGAAAAAGAAAGAGAGAGAGAGAGAGAGAAAGAAAGAAAGGAGAGAATAACAAACACTGGAGCAGCTGCAGAAATACTGGTACCCTCACCCACTGCCAGGTGGGCTGTAACTATATACAACCACTGTGGAGAGCCATGTGGCACTACCCCAAACAACTGAGAACTGAAATTTCAAACAATCCGGCAATCCCTCGACTGGGCATATAACCTAAAAAAGTAAGAGTCAACACAAATGGACATATGTACACCATGCTCACTGTAGCACAGTTCCCAATAGCAAGAAGCTGGATACAGCCTAAATGCCCATCAGTAGAAGCATGAGTAAAGAAGCTGTGGGACACACATACACACATGCACGCACACAATGGAATACTATGCATCCCTAAAAAACAATGGCAAAACCATGAAGCGCCCCATGGCAAGGAAGGACCCGGAAAACATTATAATGAGTGAAATATAATATGAGGTAACTGTGACTGTGGGTGTGTGGGGAAGTGAGGGGAGAGAAGAGAAGATAAAGACTTTCATACCTCAGGGAACAAACCTACGGGAGTTTTCCAAAGAGGGCAGGGCAAGGACAGGAAGATGAACTAAAGATGATGTGAACCGGCTGAGGGTGCTCACCTGGACGGAGTGGAAGATGGTGGCCCACAAGAGGGAGAAGAGAAAGCAAGGACTGGGTGAAGGGTAAACTATTGGGAGATTTGACTGGGAATGTAAACGATCGAATACAAAGCTGATCATCTGAAATGTAAACCCCCACCTAATTTATAATTAAGAAAATATATCATCACTAGGGTTTAATTCATATATCTGAACAAAACGTGTTTGGGGATCTTACAATAAGTGTATACGCTACAGATAAGCTCCCGGCTGCCTTCAAAGGAAGGTCCAAGGAAAACAGTGACTTCTGAGCAGACCTGCTGAATCAGTTCAATTCAAGACATCCCGGAGGGAAAGCAATGGCTTGGAAAGTTGCATCAGGATTTTGGTTATTTCCCATCACAACAAAGCACCTACTCATTCTTCGCGGGTCGCAAGGCCTGTCCTATGGGAAACCTTTTCCTATCCACTCTACACACCCTGATCTTGCCCCGTCAGTCTTCTTTCTATTCCCAAACCCAAAGAACGTGTATAAGGAACACAATTTAAGCCCCTTGAGGATGCCAAAGGTGCGCTGGTGACGTGGTGGATACGAGTTGGGCTGCAATCCAAAAGGTCAGCAGTCTGAAACCAGCAGCTGCTGCTCAGGGGAAAGATGAGGCTTTCTGTTCCCTTACAGTTACAGACTCGGGAAACTCACAGGCACGTTCTATCCTGTCGGCAGGGTCACTGTGAGTCGGCCTCGACTAGATGGCAGGGAGTTTGGTTTGGGTTTCTTGGAAGATGGCAACAGTGTAACTTTGAAGTGATGCCAATCGAAGAGAGCCAAGCTCTTCAGGAAGGGTTGGAGCGACTGAAGCGCTACCTTTGAAGTTGTTTCTCCCAGAATGTCTTACGCAGGGAACGGTGGTTAGAGAGATGGCAGAGCGGTGCTCCTCCCCCACTGAGAAGATGGGCTCTTGGCACTGAACTGCAGCTGTGGCAGGTGTGTTACCTGTTTTCATAAGGCAGAGTCCAGAAACCTTGCAGGAGTCAAGCTCCCTCTGGTGGCTACTTTTATTCTGTGCATTGAAAGTTTCCATTTCAGTTCTTTCTAACCTTGTAACCATGTAATCCTGGGCTGGCAAGTCTGTTAGACATAAAAGGTCATAGTTTTCCCTTAAGGAAAAGGAGGCCCCAAAAAAGGAAAACAATTTACTAAAAACTCAATGACTAATGGACCAATATAAAAGGCCATTCAAAACAAAAAAATTTGAAAACCAGTCCATTTGTAAGAAAAATAGAAAATGTCATTGAGAGACACTAAAGAGCTGAGTTGGAAAACGCCTTTATCTCCTGGGGACCCAGGTCGGTGCCATCGAGAGCTGGGGCATGGGATCCTGAAGCTTCACTGCATCAGTGAGACCCGATGCGGAAAGTCCGCTGGGTTCGCAGACACACTTGTAACCTGAGGACGTGCGAAGACGGAAAAGTACATGGTGTCCAGGGAATCAGGAGGCAGCTGCACCAAGATGGCTGAGATGTCCGTCGGTGGACAAACATGGGCAAATATGCTGTCTTAAGATATGTGCTACTCTGGCAAACCTGTGTCTGGTATTCTCAGCCAACAGTATTATAAGTTTTCTCTGACAATTAACCCCATTGTCTGTGTAAATAGCATCCAGCCACGAAAGGATGGATGCTGTACAGGTGAATAATTCCAGGTACTGTGAGATGGAGTTAGCCTACATTGTCTCAATATCACTGTCTCAACTGGGCTTTAAAACATTAGTACCCTTGACACATGGATATACATATGGACTGTGATAAGAGCT